GAAAAGCACAAACAAAATCAAGGAAAAGACAGACAGTAACCTAAAAGAATTCAAGAAAACAGTATAAGAGCAAAAAGACAAAATAAATAGACAGTGAGAAGCTATACAAAAGCAGCAATTAGAAATCCAAAAAATTAACACTAAAATTTTAGAGATGGGTAACACATTGGAAGAACAAAAGAGTAGAATTAAATCGGTAGAAGACCAGATCAGTAAATTACAAGACAAATCCTTTGACAGCAATTTGAATGAAGAAAAATGAAAAATGCCTAGGAATTATGTGGAACACTCACTATCAAGAGGAAAAATTTACATGTGATAGGAGGCAAAACAAAAAAAGAAAACATTGAGAGAATTGTTGGAAATTTACTAGCAGGAAACTTCCCTAATATAAAAAATGAAAAGATACCTATACAGGAGACTTAATGAAACCCATACAGAATGGACCCCAAAAGAAAATCAAAGATTCCAAAACCAAAGACAAAGAATCTTGAGGGCAGCTTGGGAAAAATGAAATATTACCTACAAAGGAGAACCAATAATACTAAGCTCTAATTTTGCACCAGAAACTATGCAGGTAAAAAGGCAATGGGATGATATATACAAAATTCTGAAAGAAAAAAAGTAGCTGACTGAGAAATATATATTCAGCAAATTTTTCCCTCAGATATGATGGCAAAATTAGGACATTTTCAGATAAACAGAAATTAAGGGAATTTGTAAAACCAGACTAACCATACAAGAAATGCTAAAGAGAGTCCTTTGGACAGAGAACCAACACCATCATACAACAGTCTGAGATTAAGACCCATGACAACATCACCCAGAAGCAAACCCAGAAAAAGAATTCTTGGGGGAAAAAAAAAATGGAAAATAGAGAACCATAGGCATCAATCTGTAAACAATGACAACTACAAAGCAAAAAGAAAGAATTGTTGTTAGGTGCCGTCGAGTCGTCTCCAACGCATAGTGACCCTGTGTACAGCAGAACAAAACACTGCCCCCTCCACGATCCTTGCTATACTTGAGACCATTGCCACAGCCACTGTGTCAATCCATCCTGTTGAGGGCTTTCCCCTCCTTTGTCAGCCATTCACCTTAGCAAGCATGACATCCTTCTCCAGGGAATGGTCCCTTCTGACAATATGACCAAAGTAGATGAGATGAAGTCTCGTCATTCTCACCTCCAAAGAGCATTCCAGCTGCACTTCCTCTAGGAAAGATTTGTTAGATCTTTTAGCAGTCCATGGTACTCTCAGCATTCTTCACCAGCACCACAACTCAAAAGCATCAACTCTTCTTCAGTCTTCCTTATTCATTGTCTAGCTCTCACATGCATGAGAGGCAACTGAAAATACCATGGCTTTTGTCAGGCGCACCTTAATCCTCAAGGAGATACCTTTGCTCTTCAGCACTTGAAAGAGAGGTCTTTTGCAGCCAGTTTACCCAGTGCTATATGTCATCTGATGTCCTGACTGCTACTTCCATTGGCATTGATTGTAGAGCCAAACAATGTGAAGTCTTTGACAACTTCAGTCTTTTCTCCGTTTATCGTGATGCTGCTTATAGGTCCAGTTCTGAGATTTTTTTTCTTTATATTGAGGTATAATTCATAGTGCAGACTGTATTCTTTAATCTTCATCAGTAAGTGCTTTAAGTCGTCCTCACTTTCAGCAAGCAAAGTTGTGTCATCAGCATATCACAGGTTGTTAATGATTTTTCCTCCAATCCTGATGCCACATTCTTCATATAGTCCAGCTTCTCAGATTACTTGCTCATCATACAGATTGAATAAGTATGGTGAAAAGATACAACCCTGATGCACTCCCTTCTGGATTTTAAACCATGCAGTGTCCCCTTGTTCCATTCAAATGACGGCCTCTTGGTCTATGTACAGGTTCCTCATGAGTACAATTAAGTGTTCTGAAATTGCCATTTTTCTCAATGTTACCATAATTTGTTATGATCCACACAATCAAATGCCTTTGCATAGTCAATAAAACATAAGTAAACATCTTTCTGGTATTCTTTGCTTTGAGCCAAGATCCACCTGACATCAGCAGTGATATCCCTCATTCCACATCCTCTTCTGAATCCAGCTTGCATATCTGGAAGTTCTTTATCAATATATTGCTGCAACTGTTTTTTAATTATCTTCAGCAAGATTTTACTTGCATGCAATATTAATGATATTGTTTGATAATTTCCATATTCTGTGGGATCACCTTTCTTTGGAATGGGTACAAATATGGATCTCTTCCAGTCAGTTGGCCAGGTAGCTATCTTCCAAATTTCTTGGCATAACCGAGTGAGTGCCTCCAGCAGGGCATCCGTTTGTTGAAACATCTCAATGAGTATTCCATGAATTCCTTGTCCCTTGTTCTTTGCCAGTTCCTTCATTGCAGCCTCAACTTCTTCCTTCAGTACCTTTGGTTCTTGATCATATGCCACCTCCTGAAATGGATGAAGACAGACCAGGTTTTTTTGGTACAATGAGTCTATGTCTTCCTTCCATCTTCTTTTGATGCTTCCTGCATAATTCGATATTTTGCCCATAGAATCTTTCAGTATTGCAATGCAAGGCTTAAATTTTTTCCTCAGTTCTTTCAGCTTGAGAAATGCCAAGCGTGTTCCCTTTTGGTTTTCTAACTCCAAGTTTTTGCACATTTCATTATAGTAATTGGCTTTGTCTGCTTGAGCTGCTCTTTGAAATCTTTGGTTCAATTCTTTTATCTTGTCATTTCTTCCATGTGCTTTAGCTACTCTCTGCTCAAGGGCAATTTTCAGAGTCTCTTCTGACATCATTTTGGTCTTTTCTTCCTTTCTACTCTTTTTAATGACTTCTTGCTTTCTTCATGGATGATGTTCTTGATATCATCCCATAATTCTTCTGGTTTTTAGTCATTGGTGTTCAGTGTGTCAAATCTATTCTTTAGATGGTCTCTTAATTCAGAAGGAATGTATTCAAGATCATATTGTGGCTCTCATGGACTTGTTTTAATTGTCTTCCACTTAAGGTTGAATTTGCATATGAGCAGTTGATGGTCTGTTCCACAATCAGCTCCTGGCCTTGTTTTGGCTAAAGATATTGAGCTTTTCTATCGCCTCTTGGCACAGATGTAGTCAGTCTGATTCCTGTGTACTCCCATCTGGTGATGTCCATGTGTATAGCTGCCATTTATGTTGTTGAAAAAAGGTATTTGCAATGAATAAGTCATTGGTCTTGCAAAATTCTATCATGCAGTCTCCAGTGTTATTTCTGTCACCAAGGCCAATTTTTCCAACTACTGATAATTATTCTTTGTTTCCAACTTTACATTCCAGTCACCAGTGATAATTAACACATCTTGATTGCATGTTCAGTCAATTTCAGACTACAGAAGTTGATGAAAATCTTTAATTTCTTCATCTTTGGCTCTTGAGGTTGGTGCGTAAATTTGAATAATCCTAGTATTAACTGGTCTTCCCTGTAGGCGTATGGATATTATCCTATCATTGACAGCATTGTTCTTCAGGACAGATGTTGAAAAATCCTTTGTGATGATGAATGCCCCACCATTCCTCTTCAAGTTGTCATTCCCAGCATAGTAGATCATATGGTTGTCAGATTCAGAATGGCCAAAACCAGTCTATTTCAGCTCACTAATGCCTAGGATATCAATCTTTATGCATTTCATTTCAATTTTGACAACTCCCAATTTTCCTAGATTCATACTTTGTACATTCCATGTTCCAATTATTAATGCATGGTTGCAGCTGTTTCTCCTCAAATTGAGTCATGCCACATCAGCAAATGGAGGTCCTGAAAGCTTTACTTTATCCATATCCTTAAGGTGGTTCTACTCTGATGATGCAGCTCTTTCCCAGTCCTATTTTGAGTGCCTTCTGACCCAAGGGGCTGGTCTTTCTGCACTGTATTAGACAATGTTTCCAGACTATTCATAAAATTGCCCAGTAATGTATCAGACAGTGTTACTCTACTATTCATAAGGTTTTCCCTGGCCAATTTTTTGAGAAGTGAATGGCCTCTTCCTTCTTCCTAGTCTGTTTCAGTCTGTAAGCTACATTGAAACCTGTGTACCATGTGTAACCCTGCTGGCATTTGAGACACTGGTGGTACAACTCAAGCCTTACAGAAACACACAAGCCACTATACAGTATGACAAACTGACAGCCAAGTTTATCTTCCTTAGCTGTTCGAAATCTCTCCACCCTCCCCTTACCTGGATCCCATGGCTCTATCATCCCTGGCTTTTCCCCCACTTCCTGCCTCTTGGGTGGTGCTAAAACGACAAGGAGGCCACATGTTCTGACCTCCTCTAACCCTACAAGGGGAAGGCAGGATTACCAGCAGTAACCCAAGGCCTATTACTGCCAGGCCAGACATGTTGCCTCTCTCCAGTCCTTTCTCCAACCGTTCCTCCCAGAGCACCCACCACCTCTCTCCTGG